TCCTTGTATTCCATTGTGTCGGACTATGAGGACCGAGAATATTTCAATTGTATGATGAATGAGTAGGTATTTCAATTGTATGATGAGTGAGATATGAATTTTACAATAAATATGGACACGTGGCAACCAAAAATTTTATTCGAAAATTTTATCAGAAAAATGTTATCTTAAATTTTAAGTGAGAATTTTATAATAAATAGTAACACGTGACAACCGAAAATATAAGATATCCGAAAATTTTATCTGGAATAAGACACGTGCAACTGAGATTCTCATCCGAAAATCTTTTCTGAAAAATAATAGACACGTGGCAACCAAAAATCTTATCCGAAAATTTAATTAGAAAAGATTATCAAAATTAATGGTTTAAAGTATAAAAAAAATAGGAAATAAAGTACAATGAATAGTATTTGCCTTAGACTTAGCCCTTGCCATTACCTTTTGGGGTGGAACCACAAATGGCAAGGCTGCCACTATTCACGTGAATAGTGGCAGTCCTTGCTTGCCTTTGCCTTAGACTTAACCTTTATGGGTGGAGATGCTCTTAGAGCACTTCCAGCAGTGAGAATGTTGCCATGGCAAAGGGGGGTTAGGGCTGACACTATTCACGAAAATTGTGTCTGCCCTTGCAAAAAGTAAATTGCACTTCCAGCAGTTGCCATGGCAAGGGGGGGTACTATTCAATTTTTTTGTTTCTTTCACAAATTTGTTTACCTAAACAATTAATTTGAACAATATTTTCGGATGAGATTTTTTGATAAAATATTCGGATAAGATTTTCAGATAAAATATTCAGATAAGATTTCCGGTTTCAAATTTCAGATAAATTTTTTTTAATAGTTTCTTTGATAGAGAAAAATTAAACTTGAAAGTGAAAAAAATTTAAAGTTGAAAGTGAAAAAATTATTGAGTAGAAAGTGAATAATTAAACTTGAAAGTGAAAAAAATTTAGAGTTGAAAGTGAAAAATTATTGAGTAGAAAGTGAATAGTGAATTTGTTGTTAAAAGTGAAGAGCATGGATTGGTATTTATAGAAAAAAAATTCAGTATTTTTTGGGGTTTTTTTAAAAAAAATTTACGATTTTTTTTCATAATTTTTTGCCTTGAAAAATTCCAGGCCGTTGGATTGGATGAAAATTCAAAAATCGGAAGGACCATATCGGGCCACGTGGCAGCGGAAAGAAAAATAAATAAATTGCGCCTACTGACGTCAGTCTGCCTTCGGGCTGCTGCTCGGCCAGCCCCTGCGTTCGGGCCAGCCCAGGCAAGTGGACCCCACACTGCCCGGGCCAGCCCTTGCTGTCGGACAGGCGCTTTGGGCTCTCTCCTCCCC